ATAATATAATACAATACTTTTAAAATTATATATTACATTATATACAATAATAATATACAATATTATCCAAATAAAATACTATAATATATTATAAAAATTATATTCCTATAATATATCCTATTAAATAGACTATTAAAATTACATACTATATTCCATCGCATAATATATTATCAAAATCATATTAAACAATAAATTAGATCGCGGTTAAATGGAAAGTAGGTCGCGGTTAGATAGGAATTAGGTCCAGTTTAGGTTCACGCATCTGCTCAAATATCTCTCGCGACCGAAACCAGACATATAAACTTTCTTCGAAGGAGAAACTCCTTCGAAACAGTCAAGCTCTGCAAACCCGCTAAAATATCAAATATCAATATCATCAAACACGTCGACAAGCGATCGCCAACACTTCGATTCTGCCAGAAGAAAAAAAGAAAAAAGAAAAGAAACGCTCCAACGTTCAACCAGCGTCCCGTAATCACGGCATCCTCGGGATTTAAACGGGCGACACGGTGTCATTAACAAATCGTCGCGTGCGCCTGCGAGGATTCACCGTCCGCGGCACTGTTCAGGGGGCCGCGCCGCTCTTGAGCTACTTGAAGTTAATTTCGCGTCCTCCGCAGAGTCGAAGGATGGATCGCGCGCGTACGGCCGCTGGGCGTGTGTATAAGAGGCGGTCGAGTTTTCCCATAGAGACAGAATCGTTGCTCATAGGCGTGTCGCGCGCGTAACGCACGCCGGCGACCGATCTGCGTCGCGCGGCCTTGCCAGCATCGTCCGACGAACAACACCCGAGTTTAAACAAATAGAGTCACCTGGAACAACTGGAGGGGTGCCACGCGGCTCTATATAGGGACTATTCGTGCCGTGCACGGCGAGCAGACGAACGCGACGACGGCGAACACGTTTTCGAGGAAAGCCTTTCGACGCTGCCCGGCCTGGAAAATGCAATCATTTCTGCTGGTACGTACTGTCATTGCTTCCGAATCATTCTGGGATAAATTAGGATTGATAGTATTTTTTAAAATAAGCGGTATCTCAAATGGCAAAGGCATAACTAAACGCGAAATAATTCTTATCCTTAAATGCGAAATAATTCTGGGATAAATAACGATATAATTCTGGGATAAATGACGAAATTTTTTCTTTAGAATATATGAAATGCATCGTCGTAAATTCAAAATAATTCTGGGGTAGCTAAATAATTCTGCACTCGTTTCCAAATTAACGCAAAATTTAATACAGTCTTTTTAGTCCACGGTATTTCCATTTTTCATGACATTTTTTACACGCGAAAATGAATTTTGAGATTTGTGCAACAGTTCTTTAAATGTAAACAAATTTGGCGAATAAAATTATATTTTGAAACGCGACGCGACAATTTTTCATGGCGCCTCGGAGTCGTCACTCGAGTGCAAAGGGTTAATATATATTTTTTTAAATTCGGTATTTAAAGTATAAAAATGTTTCCAGATTTTTGCACGGTCACGTCTTCGATTTTCGTTTATTTTCTGGTAAACAATTACGGGGAGATTGACATTTTACGTTTAGCTTTTTTGAGAGCTTTAAATGTTTATAATTTTGTAAATATTGCTGTGTGGCTGGATCTAAGGGAAATTAAACCCTGTGATTTTTACTCTGTTTGTAACAGAGCGCTATAAACAAATGAAATAGAATTGAACAAAGCTTTAAAATTAAAACTAAGCTTTTAAGTTTGTTCTAAAAACTTGCAACAGAGCGTTGTAAACAAATGAAATATAATTGAACAAAGCTTTAAAATTGAAACTAGGCTCTCGTTTGTTCTAAAAACCTGCAATAGAGCGCTGTAAACAAATGAAATATAATTAAACAAAGCTTTAAAATTGAAACTAAGTTTCCGTTTGTTCTAAAAACTTGCAACAGAGCGCTGTAAACAAATGAAATATAATTAAACAAAGCTTTAAAATTGAAACTAAGTTTCCGTTTGTTCTAAAAACTTGCAACAGAGCGCTGTAAACAAATGAAATATAATTAAACAAAGCTTTAAAATTGAAACCAAGCTTTCGTTTGTTCTAAAAACTTGCAACAGAGCGCTGTAAACACACACAAATGGAACAGAATAGAACACCGTCGGACTAAAAAATTTACAGCGTTGAATAAATAATATGAAATAAATGACAAAGAATAAGCAACGTTAAATAAATAAACATAGAAAGAAGTACACGTTGTATACGCTTCGAAGGGTGTCGAATTTTCCGGTCGGACGGCCGACGAAGTGCACAGTGAGGGTGCGGGGGGAGGGGGATGGTGAATGGGTAGCTTTTTCATTTGTAAACACCGACGGCGGGTCGTTCTTCGGCTGACAAATTTTGACAGGCCGGCAACGGAGCGTGTACGGCATCGATACAGGGCCGTCGGGGCGCACGCTGTGCTTCATTCGGCCGAATCCGACGGAACGCGGAGGACAAAAACGGCGAAAGAGGAGCAATTAGCGTGTGGCGTGAATGGAACGTCGCCTGTTAGACCGACGGTTTTATTTCTGCGGCCGAACAGATCCCTTTTGTCCAACGGTGTCTTGGCTTACAAACTTGTTGTGCATCCCTTTTTTATTTTTGAAAATTGCTAGTCGACATTTTTATGGATATATACAAAATTTATACACAAAATTATATGATACGTTTTTACAGATATTTTTGCATTTTTGAAGATACTCTATAACTGACTGATTAATCGAGAAAAATTGTTTAAGGCCACAAAGGTAACTAATGAAAAATTGAGTAAGACAATTATGCAAAACAAAAATGAAGTGACAAAGTATTTTCTGTTTTAAGAATTTTTATAATTGCAACAGTGTTTTTAAATTTATCCGGAGCCTTCAAAGTTTCTGTTTCACCCACTGTGTCAATTATAATAAATCTTAGTTTAAGCTAATTTAATTTAATTTGATTTAATTGAATATATTCTAATTTAATTTGATTTAATTGAATATATTCTAATTTAATTTTATTTATTTGCATATATTTTAATTTAATTTGATATAATTGAGTATATTTTAATTCAATTTAATTTAATCTCAAGCAAAAGCAAAAGATTTAAAATCGTGGAAACATGAAAATCGTTTAAAAATACCAACGTATTATGCTAACATATTATTTTTACTTTCTTTTATTATACAATTAAATTATTTCTAAGAGGAAGGAACATTGTAGTTTCAATGTCCCGCAGTCGATGCGACGATTGTATCTTCTGTAAACGGTTTAAACGCGAGCCGGAGATTGCATAGAATTTCTCTTTCGCCTTTCCATAACAACGTTTGCTTCGGTTTGTTTTTCCAAGGACGCGTACCGCGCGGACGACTCATGGCGTTTTAAGAGCCCGGCGATAAAAACTTCTTCTATCTCGCGCGTCCACTTGTCCCGCGGCTTGCGTAAAGTGCAGTGTACACAGCCGAAAAGACACAGTCCCGTTTCCATTCTTGGGAACACATTGTTCGACGCCAATATTTGCAATTAAAGGAAGTGAAAGTGAGGGGGCCTCGCGCCGTCGCGACGAGGCAAAAGGAGACACCGCCGCAATCCTTTGTTTACGTTCGACGAAACCGGTTCATTTCACCCTATCTCTGACCTAAATTCTCGACACACACACACGCGCGCGCGTCAGAATTCTCGCGGGAAAATCATTGAAAAGTGAAAAAAAATCGTATACTTCACAATCAATTTTCCTTTCGATTAATTTTCGTACCCTCGTTTTTTATGCCAAGCAAAATTGTTTGTTCGAACGTAGAAATGTTTAACACTGTAACAACACTGTAATAACGCTGTAATATACAGATTTAGCGCACAATATCGAGTATAATTTTCAATTTCCCGTCGGGCGTTCGCTTCTCATATTTCCCGGGGTTGTTCCACCCCCGCAAAAAATCCGAGAAAAATTGGCAACGCTGCTTCCCGTAATACCCATCGTCAGAATTAATGCGACGACGGCAACACTGTATCCTTTCGAGAAATCTGCAATTTTCTAATCTTTTCTCGGTGCTATCATTTTTCTCGCCCGCAACTTACAGTCGAAAAATCTGCAAAAATTCACCAATGTGCGCCCTCGAATTCCAAAATGAGCTGTATTTTTTTCAAAATTTTCGAAGACCACGAGCGAACGTGAGCGCTGATGAATTAAACATAAACCGCGTGCCCGTCGTGACCACGTGCATCGGCGAATTACGCATTCATCGTAGACCACGCGCATCCGTTAGCGACGGAAGCCTAATTAATTTAACGATTGAACGTATTTGGACGCACGAGTGTCTAATTGATCGAAATCTCGAACGCGATCGTACGGGATCGATTGCAAAACAAGACCGAATTCACCGTGAATCATCTCTGTTACAGATATTCTCTTCCGCCTGCCTATTCGCACTCAGCAGCGGTGCCATAACAGCGACCGAGTCGAAGCTCGTTACCAAACTAGCGCCCGTAAACAGCGCACCCTACGAAGACACTACCAAAGATCTGACAGCGGCCGCCAGCGACCGAAGTAAGCGATCCGAAACAGATTTTATTCGGCCGAAAATTTCGTGCTGCAAGGTTCTTGCTTTCGCGTGAATTTATGGGCTTGACGCCGTGCCATTTATAATTACAAATATTAATACGTACCAATATATACATATTAATACATATTAATACATACATATTAATACATATTTATAAATATTTATAATTGCAAATATTAATACATATTAACACATATTTATAAATATTTATAATTGCAAATATTAATACATATGTATGAATATTTATAATTAGAAATATTAACACATATCTATGAATATTTATAATTACAAATATTAACACATATTTGTAACAACATATAATTACAAATATTAACGCATATTTGCAAATACATTACAAATATTAATATGTATTTATAAACAAATACAATTACAAATATTAATAAACATTCATCTCAATATTTGCAACCGATCAAAATAATTAGAAGGCGAAATTGACCAGACATTAATATAATGAAAGAAAAACATAATTCATGGATTTCAATTAAGAAAGCTTAGAAAACAATTAAGAAGGCCATCGTTATCCTGGAATTGTTTTCACACGACAGATTGCAAAGACCACTGCACCAGATAGTACAATAACAAAGAATGTGACCCTCAGACAAAAATGAAAACACAGCCTGTGAAAAACGTCTCGGATGAATCACTTATGGAAATGTACTGTTCTCCCGTTACGCCAGTCGTTAGATGAATGATCTAACGCGAAGCGACGAGTGATCAGAGCGCTGCACTGCACTAGAAAGAAGCCGGCGGATGTCGGAGGACCTTCGGCGGTCTCGCCGCGGCACATTAGCATGTTATTAGAACGAATGTCACTTTTTTTTTCACGTCGGCTACGCGTCTGAGACGTCCGATCGTGGGAACGGCAGTGACACACTTATTTAATACGAGAACGTTGGATAACGATCGATTGTTTATGCCGCGAGGATAATCGCAATTCCGCGCGGACAATGAGTTCACGTGCTCGCAACGATTGCACGATTATGACAACCCTAATTGCGTCCTGGACTAACGATGAGATTGGCCGGGGAATATCGAGATATTTTTTCGCGAGCTCGTTAATTCGCGAATTTATTTATCCTGTGGATTTATTAATATGAGAATATTAAATTTTGTAAAATTAATTTGAGAATTTATTAAATTGCAAAATTGTCTATTTGCGAATTTATCGATTCGCAAACTCGCGAATTCGTTAATCCTGCATATGGAGCACTCGCTGCACGCTCGAACTGCACCGTAACCTTTGACAATAGACCGTCGAGGCTGCGCGCGAGTTTTAAATATTCCGACGTTAGCCGGCAAATTACGGAATTTAAAATCGCCGAAGTTAGATAGTTCGGAACTCCTGTCGACCGTGTCGCGAAAGCGTGGTAGCATTTCAAACGGTCCAAGTGCCGGCTCAACTATCGTTTATTGTAGCGGGAGGAACTTTATCGATTTATACAGTCTGTTCTACGAACGGCGTCGCGGGTCGAGGGAAACGATTCCTCGGTTCATTCGAAGGAACTTTTTCCTTTGCGAAAATCTTCTCCGTCGCACCGTTAGCGAGTTATTCGCGAAAAACGACTGGCCAATTGGCTAGCGAGCGCGGCCGACGCTCCGCCCTCGCGACGCCGCACGCATCGACCGGTCCCGGCCTACCATTGGTCGAGCGTTTTTCGTTAATATCTCGTTAACGAGGCCGTGGAGAACATTTTCGCGAAGGAAAAAATTGCTCCAAATTGACTGAAGAATCACTTTAGGTGCACCGTGTATAGATACCGCTGAAAATTGTTCCAACAATTTAATGGAACTTTTAATCAATTTTGTACAGGTTCATAGAACTTTTTTTGTGCAATTTTGCAGGGTTCGTGTGAACTTTATACAATCCTATGGGGTTCGTATGAACTTTATACAATCCTATAAGGTTCACATGAACTTTATACAATTACTCAAAGTTCATACGAATATTATAAAATTTGATAGAATTAATATAAATTCGCATAAATCCCGTGAAATTTTAAAAAACCTTTACAAATTCATATGAATTTCTAAGAACGTTACGAACGCCTAAGATTGCCTGCTCGCATAATTTCCGGGTGAAACGGATCGGCGAATCGACTAGGTTGGCCTACTCGCGAAATATATTGATTTTCTTAAAAGCTTCCTTGATTCCAGCGTTCCACATTGGTAAGGATTATGGGCAGCCCAGTTATGGCTCAAGCGTGCCGTACGGGTCCTATTACAGCTCGATTTATAGTCCCAGCGTTGGATACCGCGGCGCCGGATTGAATCCGGGATACTTGAACGTGGGATACAACAGGGGATACGGGCCGAACGGAGTCACCGGCGGCGGTCATCTCGGGTAAGGAATATTCCCGGCGCAATTTAAGGTGCAATGATTAGGAGACGTCGTAAACTTGTCGCAGACGATTGTCGTGTCGGTCGGAAATTCGCGTGACATCGTACGAGCACGTGGAACGTTCGTAGCCGGCCTCGAACCGACGGACTAAATGAGACACAGTGTAATGAGCAGAGACGAACGTTGTCGTTGTTGATTGGCATTACTATCGTCCTCCTCGTCGCCGCGCTGGACTGCGACAGTAGGCGAGCAACCGTTGCCGCGAATTCCCCCCGAATGCTGCGTGACGCGCCGGCCGTGACGTCATCTACGAAGTCACGTGATGGGTACCGGGGAATTCTGGACCGCGGCGCGCAGGAGAATTCAGTCGCTGGAGAATTCGGTGACAAGTTGTAACTTTTGAACCGACAGAGATATCGCGATGAAATTTTCACTAAAAATAATTTAAAAATCGCGATTTTTAACTGGCGTTTTAGCCAGCTAATTTTTATAATATAAAATGTTTTTATATAAAATTACACAATAATTTATAAAATTACACAATACAAAATATAGAAAATTATGTAATAAAATTATTATATAATAGAAACTATAGAAAATTATATAATAAAATTGTTATACAATAAGAAATATGGAAAATTATATAATAAGAAATATAGAAAATTGTATAATAAAATTATTATATAATAAAAAATATAGAAAATTATACAATAAAATTATTATGTAATAAAAAATATAGAAGATTACATAATAAAATTATTATATAATAGAAAATATATAGAAAATTGTGTAATAAAATTATTATATAATAAAAAATATAGAGAATGATACAATACAATTATTATATAATAAAAAAATATAGAAAATTATATAAAAAAATTATTACATAATATACAATAAATAATCGTTATCTCCCGGGGGGAATTTACCGTGCACCGAACATTTTCGGACAGAATATCGCCGAGTTCTCTATAACTTTCCATTGTGATAATCGAATTAATCAGACAGGTACCGCGGTGCCGGACGATACTGCGACACTATTACACCATGTTAATTCTGTTGATTCGCAGATACGGTTACTACGGGAACCTTGGATATAATCCCGGTTACGGGAGCAGCGGCTACATCGGCAATAGTGGATACGGCGGTTACGGAAGTGGATTGGGCTACGGAAGTGGTTACGGTTCGTACAACACCGGAAATTATGGTTTAGGCTACGATGACGGATATAATGGATACGGACGCGGCGGTTACGGACGCTATGGTGGCTACGACGGTTACGGGTATGGATCAGGTTACGCCGGCTACGGCGGGTCGAATTACGGTTCGGCGTACGCCGCGAGGAGCAACTACGAGCCCTACAGCTACCAAGGCTACGGGAGTTACGGCTCGCCGTCGGGATACAGGGGTTACTCTTAGCTCGCTCACGAGTTTCGGGCATCGATCGCGCGCACCGCCGCGCTGCGCCGAAATGCTGCGACGCCGTTCCTGCGAATCGATCGAACAATTGGACCGCGGATTTTCTGCACTAGGACGAAAAATTGGCCGTTCTTCTGCAAACAATTTAAGAGCGGACGGACAACGTTGTATCGTTTTTAAGGCATTAACGTTACCGATAATGATAAAAAATAAAATATAAAAATAAAACAAAATAAAATAAGATATTAAAATAAAATAAAATAAATAATAGAATAAAATAATAAAATAATAAAATAAAAATAATAGAATAAAATAAAATAAAATACAAAAATAAAATAAAATATAAAAATAAAATAAAATAACCTTCTCTCGTTATATATATATTCAATCCAGCATTCCCCGATGCTTCCCCGAATTGTCGCACAGCGGTGTAATTAAATTTTTCGAACACGCTTACGGTATTCTGATTGACCTAACTACCGAGTTAGTATGATCCCTGCGTACGGCTCATTCGCGCGCTCGTTGTTCCATGGACAAACTTGTGGTAATCTCTGTTATGGTTTATTATACCTCGTGCAATGTACATACATATTGTCGACAATAATAAATAATAATATCTGGACGATTCTCGGCAAGCTCTCGAACCATCTCTGAACTCTGTTATCCGTCTAGCAGGATCCATGCGCGGTGTTGTCGTTAAAAGAAGCAACGAATAAATAAGGATCGATGATACATAAATTTGCGATTAGTTTTATTTATTGTAAAACGATCGATGCTCCGTGACGGGACACCGGACGACCGCAATATTAATATGTACAGTTATAATATAATATAATATAATATAATTTATAGAGAATTTGTCGAAGTGGACACACAGTGTGTTTACATAGACATTGTAAAAAAAATACAATTATAAATCTGTTACGATGATAAGAAGAGCGTATCGAGCACGCACAGTCGCCTACGGTCTGCTCCGTTGAACTTTTTTTCTTCGAATCTTGATCGTTGAGGATTCTTGTAAAAAAAAATCGAGGTTGCGTCGATAAAAATACACGAAAAACCGTTCTCTGTGCGTGCTCAATGATAATACCGTGCCAGGTGCGCCGATAAGCAATCCATTAGATTTTCTTCCGCGCGGTGCTAACAGAATTTCCGTTCTGCAACGGCGGCGGAAGAGAAACGTCGTCGGAGCGCGGCTTCGTTGAAATAAATAGGTCGAACCGGGTCGGAACCTAATGAATTATCTATCGTTACACCTGTTCGTACGTGTTAGTGGCGTTCGCGCGGCCAATGTCTAATTCCAAGCCGGCGAGGATGAGGACGGAATTCGTCTCGTTTCCAGCGCGACGTTTTCCACGAGTCGGATCCAGGAGCGGATTCGTCGGACGTTCTGGTAAACGTCGGCCGAAACGAGCCTTGAAATTAAATATCATATGACAATGAGATACGATGGGAATAACACCTGCGTTACAACTAAGAAAAAAAAGAATCCCAAGTTCAACCGTTCGCGTGAAGTGAACTGTTCCCTGCGTTAACTTTCTCAGTTACTCAACGCTAGAACCACCGATCGATGCACAGAATCTTCTAGAAACGTACGCCGTTAGAAAGACAGATTCCTCGAACGATTTCAAGCAACTTTTTCCTTTACGAAAATCTTCGGAGACGACCCGTTCACAAGTTATTAGCGAAAGATCGCGGGCCAATCGGTGGCCTCGCGCGGACGCCACATGATAGCGGGCGCGGCGCCGCGATAGCCGCGTAGGCGTGGCGCCAGCCGCGCTCGCTCCGAAATTGGACAATGTTTTTCGCGAATAACTCGACAACGGAGCCACGGAGAAGATTTCTGTAAAGGAAAAAGTTGCTCGAAATCGTCTCAGGAATCATCATGTGCCAACGCTTTCCTCGGATACTCTGTGTATTGTTTCATAGCAATGGCGTAGTGTACCATCGAATAAAGAACTTCTCCTGGTATAAACGTTCATACATTTTCAGCAAGTCTGAATGCAAAAAAACCGGAAACTAGTTATTGGTTTGGTAGTTCTAGGGTTCGATGGCCGCAGCCAAATCGTTAGTTAAGAAAATAGAATCTGAATAAGAATGCTCGGTGACCATGAAGTAAGCTCGAAGTTAAAGCAGGGAATCTCTAGCAAGAAGGGCGGGGGGCGCGGCTCCATAGCCGAGAATCGTATCGGCGAATCTCTCTGGTATCGTGGCAAGGTCGAACCCGCGGACCACGTTGGCGTCAGCGTGGCCATCCGTCAGCTGTCCAGCAGCTGATGGACGGGCAACCGGCGTGGCCGATCAGCGTCAGGGGCTTCTAGTTTGTACACGGTAGACTTTCGTGGGAGGACTGTCCGGTTGTCGCGTCGCGTTACAATTGCACTCTTCGTTTCGCGCCCCGTGTCTTGGTGCGTCGCCTCTCGGTCCGGCTCCTAGCTGAAACATTCAGAAAGCCAAGGTTCGCTTGACGCAACGCTTCCCGAAGATTCTCGATGTTGCCGAGCTGGTTCAGGCTGAGAAGCTTGGTTTCGATCTTGCCGGTTTGTCGCGCGCCGCATGCGTTGCACGTGTAGGGGACGGGGGTCGCGGACGGGAACATGTCCTTCATGGTTTGCCCGTCGGTCTCGTCGGTCTCGCCGGGACAATAGGGCACGAACACCACGGGAATGAAGCCAAGCTGACCGACTACGAGGGGAGTGGACGTCGTGCTGGTGGTAGCAAAGGTGTCGTTGCCCGGCTCGACCAGGTAGCAAGGACAGGTTTGCGGGTCGGGCCCTATTGACTGTTCGTAGGGCTTTTTGCTGGCTGGGGGCTGAACCCCGATAGCGGCGATGCCCGGGCCAGGCCCTGGCGACTCCGGCTCGGACAGCTCGTTTACCTGTTTGATCAGCGCAGCGCTACCGCCGTCCTGATACCTTACGCTCCCTTGGCCCTGGCCCCGCAGCTCGGCGTCCGTCTCTACCTGAACGATCGGCTGGCTGACCTTGGTCACCTGCTGCGAGAATTTACGGTAGCCTCTGGAGCTCTGCTCCTCGCCGGTGTACTTCGCGCTGCTGGAGGTCTTCACCTCGTTATACCCGGCCCCGGAAGGCCCCGTCTTCGTCACCGAACCACCGGCATCCTCCTCCTCCGTGTACTTGCGGGACTCTTTCCGCTGAAGCAGAGAGTTCACGGCGTCCGCGTTCTGGTTCACCTGACCCAGCTTGTATTGGGACTGGTACCGGGTGTCCTTCGAGCCAAACGGACTGCTCAGCTTCACCGGGAAGACGAACCCGTTGGAATCCACCTTCTTTTCGTTGCCGTCGTCGGACGTTTCGCCTTCCCTATAGTCTGAATCCGATTGGGAGCTAATTCGCAACAGGTCCACTTCCTTCCGGCCTGATGGGCCTGCTCTTAGGCTGGACGGAGTTGTAGGTTCGTAGTACTTCACTGGGTATTCAACTTTGATGGGACCTTCGTAGCGTGGTTTCGACGTTGGTGACTTGTCAGGGATGTAATCTGGGTCCCCAGGCCAGGGACCGTCGGGACCCGGTGAACCCGTTGGCCAGGGACCGTCGGGACCATTGGGACCTACGCCACCCACTCCGCCGTCACCTCCGATACCGCCAACGGGACCTCCAGGACCTTCCGGGCCTCCTGGACCTTCCGGGCCTTCGGGACCAGCAGGCCCTTCGGGCCACGGGCCATTAGGACCATCAGGACCGACACCGCCATCTGGACCTTGAGGTTCTGTGGGATAGCCTGGATGATGGTCTTGACCTGAAATTGTTAAATATATCAAGTATTGACTTACATACCACAGATTCAAATACTTAGGAATCATAATTCAGTAGTTTTACTACCTGGCGTTGATGTTCCAGGATGACCAGGGTAGCCAGGAGTACCTGGTTTACCAGGCGTCCCTGGCGTTCCAGGTGTCCCGGGGATTCCAGGGTATCCAGGATGAGACGGTGTACCTGGTATTCCTGGAGTGCCAGGTCTGCCAGGAGTACCAGGTGTTCCGGGGTATCCAGGTTCAGGTGGTGTTCCAGGAGTACCTGGTACCCAGGGCCCTCCGGGGGTCCCAGGGTATCCAGGATGTGGTGGTTTTCCTGGTATTCCAGGAGTTCCAGGTCTGCCAGGTGTTCCAGGAGTTCCAGGGTATCCAGGATGCGGTGGCGTTCCTGGTGTGCCTGGTGTACCTGGTATTCCTGGAGTGCCAGGTCTGCCAGGAGTTCCAGGAGTCCCAGGGTATCCAGGTTCAGGTGGTGTTCCAGGAGCACCTGGTACCCAGGGCCCTTCGGGGGTCCCAGGGTATCCAGGATGTGGTGGTTTTCCTGGTATTCCGGGAGTTCCAGGTCGGCCAGGTGTTCCAGGCGTGCCAGGTGTTCCGGGGTATCCAGGATGAGGTGGTGTTCCAGGCGTGCCAGGTATTCCAGGTGTTCCAGGTCTTCCAGGTGTTCCAGGTCTTCCAGGCGTTCCAGGTGTTCCCGGTGAGCCAGGCGATCCTGGTGAGCCTGGATAGCCAGGTTGTGGTGGGTAAGGAGGTATTCCAGGAGTATCAGGATATCCAGGGTGTCCTGGCTTTCCTGGGATTCCAGGTGTTCCTGGTGCACCAGGGGATCCTGGAGCCCCTGGATAGCCAGGATAAGGTGGATAAGATGGTTTTCCAGGAGTACCAGGATACCCAGGTTGTCCTGGCTTTCCTGGGATTCCAGGTGTTCCAGGTGCGCCAGGAGATCCAGGAGTTTCTGGATAGCCAGGATAAGGTGGATAAGGTGGTTTTCCAGGAGTACCAGGATAGCCAGGTTGTCCCGGCTTTCCTGGTATTCCAGGTGTTCCCGGTGCGCCAGGTGATCCAGGAGTTTCTGGATAGCCAGGATATGGAGGATACGGTGGTGTGCCAGGTGTACCAGGATATCCAGGGTGTCCTGGTTTACCTGGCTTTCCTGGCTTTCCGGGTATTCCTGGGGTCCCAGGAGTTTCTGGAGTTTCTGGATAGCCAGGATAAGGTGGATAAGGTGGTTTTCCGGGAGTTCCAGGATGTCCAGGGTGCCCTGGCTTTCCTGGTATTCCGGGTGTCCCTGGTCTTCCTGGAGTTCCAGGTTCCGGTGGGAACCCGGGTGGGCCTGGATATCCAGGATGAGGTGGTTCCTCAGGCGGTCCAGGATATCCAGGATATGGTGGTGTGCCAGGTCTTCCAGGTGTCCCTGGTCTTCCTGGAGTTCCAGGTGTGCCAGGATATCCAGGATGCGATGGTGTTCCAGGTGAACCTGGCCTTCCTGGTGTGCCTGGAGATCCAGGATATCCTGGTTGCGGCGGTATTCCGGGAGACCCAGGATATCCAGGATGTGGAGGCTTCCCAGGCGTACCTGGATGTCCAGGAGGATATGGTGGTATTCCTGGTATGCCAGGTGTTCCAGGAGTTCCTGGTCTACCAGGAGTTCCAGGTGTACCCGGCGATCCAGGCGTTCCAGGATATCCAGGATGAGGTGGTTTCCCCGGATATCCAGGATACCCAGGACCCTCAGGATATTGCGGAGTTTCGGTTGTACCGGGATATCCGGGATGTGACGGTCCCCCAGGAGTACCTGGGGTGCCAGGATATCCAGGAGTTCCGGGAGTACCAGGTATACCAGGAGATCCAGGAGTCCCTGGTGTTTCAGGATATCCTGGATGAGGAGGATAAGGTGGTGTGCCAGGTTTTCCAGGCTTCGGATGTTTCCCAGGTTTTCCAGGTCGCCCTGGTGTTCCAGGATACCCAGGTTGTGATGGTGTTCCAGGTGTTCCAGGAGTCCCAGGAGTTCCAGGTTGTCCATCAGTTCCAGGTTTTCCAGGTTTGCCAGGTTTCCCGGGACTTCCCGGTGTCCCAGGAGTGCCAGGACGTTCGGGATATCCAGGATACGACGGGTACGAAGGTGTACCCGGAACTTCTACTTCTGGAGTTGTTTCCGGTGGACTCGGTTCAGTAACAGGTTGATCCGGAGGACCATGGTGACCAGGCTTGCCGGGTTTTCCAGGTCTTCCAGGCTTGCCGGGTTTACCCGGATGTCCTGGATGTCCTGGCTTAGGTGGTTGTCCGGGTGTACCAGGATAACCAGGCTGCCCGGGTGTACCAGGATATCCAGGATGGCCCGGAGTCCCTGGATAGCCAGGTTGTGATGGTGTACCAGGGGTACCGGGAGTGCCAGGATATCCAGGATATGGTGGCGTTCCTGGATATCCAGGTTGCGACGGCTTGCCAGGAGTTTCGGGATATCCAGGCTGTCCAGGCGTTCCAGGTGTTCCAGGATATCCGGGTTGTCCAGGCGTTCCAGGATACCCAGGTTGTCCAGGCGTTCCAGGGTATCCAGGTTGTTCAGGTGTTCCAGGATATCCAGGTGCTGTCTCTTATACACATCTAGATGTGTATAAGAGACAGATCCAGGTTGTCCAGGCTTGCTAGGTGTTCCAGGATCACCAGGTTGTCCAGGTGTTCCAGGATAGCCAGGTTGTCCAGGTTTGCCAGGTTTTCCAGGATACCCAGGTTGTCCAGGCGTTCCAGGGTATCCAGGTTGTCCAGGTGTTCCAGGATAGCCAGGTTGTCCAGGTTTGCCAGGTTTTCCAGGATACCCAGGTTGTCCAGGCGTTCCAGGGTATCCAGGTTGTTCAGGTGTTCCAGGATATCCAGGTGTGCCGGGATATCCAGGTTGCCCAGGCTTTCCCGGTGTTCCAGGATACCCAGGTTGTTCAGGTGCTCCAGGATATCCAGGATACCCAGGTTGTTCAGGTGTTCCAGGATATCCAGGATAACCAGGTTGTGCAGGTGTTCCAGGATATCCAGGTTGTTCAGACGATCCAGGATAGCCAGGTTGTCCAGGATATCCAGGTTGTCCAGGCTTTCCAGGTGTGCCGGGATACCCAGGTTGTCCAGGCTTTCCAGGTAAGCCGGGATATCCAGGTTGTTCAGGCGTTCCAGGATACCCAGGTTGTTCAGGTGTTCCAGGATAACCGGGTTCTCCAGGTTTGCCAGGTGTTCCAGGATACCCAGGTTGTCCAGGTGTGCCGGGATATCCAGGTTGTCCAGGCTTTCCTGGTGTTCCAGGGTATCCAGGTTGTTCAGGTGTTCCAGGATAGCCAGGTTGTCCAGGCTTCCCAGGTGTTCCAGGGTATCCAGGTGGTTCAGGTGTTCCAGGTGTTCCAGGATGTCCAGGTGTTCCAGGATGTCCAGGATGTCCAGGTTTTCCGGGTTGTCCAGGCTTGCCAGGCGTTCCAGGATACCCAGGTTGTCCAGGCTTTCCAGGTGTTCCAGGGTACCCAGGTTGTTCAGGCGTTCCAGGATAGCCAGGTTGTCCAGGCTTGCCAGGCGTTCCAGGATACCCAGGTTGTCCAGGCTTTCCAGGTGTTCCAGGGTACCCAGGTTGTTCAGGTGTTCCAGGGAATCCAGGTTGTTCAGGCGTTCCAGGATAGCCAGGTTGTCCAGGTTGTCCAGGCTTGCCAGGGGTGCCAGGATAGCCAGGTTGTCCAGGCTTCCCGGGTGTTCCGGGGTACCCAGGTTGTTCAGGCGTTCCAGGATAGCCAGGTTGTCCAGGTGTTCCAGGATATCCAGGTTGTCCAGGCTTGCCAGGTGTTCCAGGATAGCCAGGTTGTCCAGGCTTTCCGGGTGTTCCGGGGTACCCTGGTTGTCCAGGCTTTCCGGGTGTTCCGGGGTACCCTGGTTGTTCAGGCGTTCCAGGGTATCCAGGTTGATCAGGTGTCCCAGGATACCCAGGTTCTCCAGGCTTACCAGGTGTACCGGGATACCCAGGTTGTCCAGGCTTTCCGGGTGTTCCGGGGTACCCAGGTTGTTCAGGCGTTCCAGGGTATCCAGGTTGTTCAGGCGTTCCAGGATAGCCAGGTTGTCCAGGTTGTCCAGGCTTGCCAGGGGTGCCAGGATAGCCAGGTTGTCCAGGCTTCCCGGGTGTTCCGGGGTACCCAGGTTGTTCAGGCGTTCCAGGATAGCCAGGTTGTCCAGGTGTTCCAGGATATCCAGGTCGTCCAGGCTTGCCAGGTGTTCCAGGATAGCCAGGTTGTCCAGGCTTTCCGGGTGTTCCGGGGTACCCAGGTTGTTCAGGCGTTCCAGGATAGCCAGGTTGTCCAGGTGTTCCAGGATATCCAGGTTGTCCAGGCTTGCCAGGTGTGCCGGGATAACCAGGTTGTCCAGGCTTTTCAGGTGTTCCAGGGTACTCAGGTTGTTCAGGCGTTCCAGGATAGCCGGGTTGACCAGGTGTTCCAGGATATCCAGGTTGTCCAGGCTTGCCTGGCGTTCCAGGATACCCAGGTTGTCCAGGCTTTCCAGGTGTGCCGGGATAACCAGGTTGTCCAGGCTTTTGAGGTGTTCCAGGGTACTCAGGTTGTTCAGGCGTTCCAGGATAGCCAGGTTGTCCAGGTGTTCCAGGATATCCAGGTCGTCCAGGCTTGCCAGGTGTTCCAGGATAGCCAGGTTGTCCAGGCTTTCCGGGTGTTCCGGGGTACCCTGGTTGTTCAGGCGTTCCAGGGTATCCAGGTTGTTCAGGTGTTCCAGGATACCCAGGTTCTCCAGGCTTACCAGGTGTACCGGGATACCCAGGTTGTCCAGGCTTTCCAGGTGTGCCGGGATGTCCAGGTTGTCCAGGCTTTCCAGGTGTTCCAGGATACCCAGGTTGTTCAGGCGTTCCAGGATAGCCAGGTTGTCCAGGTGTTCCAGGATATCCAGGTTGTCCAGGCTTGCCAGGTGTGCCGGGATAACCAGGTTGTCCAGGCTTTTCAGGTGTTCCAGGGTACTCAGGTTGTTCAGGCGTTCCAGGATACCCAGGTTGTCCAGGCTTTCCAGGTGTGCCGGGATAACCAGGTTGTCCAGGCTTTTGAGGTGTTCCAGGGTACTCAGGTTGTTCAGGCGTTCCAGGATAGCCAGGTTGTCCAGGTGTTCCAGGATATCCAGGTTGTCCAGGCTTGCTAGGTGTTCCAGGATACCCAGGTTGTCCAGGTGTTCCGGGATACCCAGGTTGTCCAGGTGTTCCGGGATACCCAGGTTGTTCTGGTGTTCCTGGGTACCCAGGTTGTTCAGGCGTTCCAGGATAGCCAGGTTGTCCAGGCTTACCAGGTGTGCCAGGATATCCAGGTTGTCCAGGTGTTCCAGGCGTTCCAGGATAGCCAGGTTGTTGAGGCGTGCCAGGATAGCCAGGTTCTCCAGGCTTGCCGGGGGTACCAGGGTAACCAGGTTGTCCAGGCTTTCCAGGTGTGCCGGGATACCCAGGTTGTCCGGGTTTTCCTGGTGTTCCAGGGTATCCAGGTTGTTCAGGTGTTCCAGGATAGCCAGGTTGTCCAGGCTTCCCAGGTGTTCCAGGGTACCCAGGTTGTCCAGGCTTCCCAGGTGTTCCAGGATACCCAGGTTGTTCAGGTGTTCCAGGATATCCAGGTTGTCCAGGCTTTCCTGGTGTTCCAGGGTATCCAGGTTGTTCGGGTGTTCCAGGATAGCCTGGTTGTCCAGGCTTGCCAGGAGTTCCAGGATACCCAGGTTGTCCAGGTGTTCCAGGCGTACCAGGATAGCCAGGTTGTCCAGGCTTACCAGGTGTTCCCGGGTACCCAGGTTGTCCAGGCTTTCCAGGTGTTCCCGGGTACCCAGGTTGTTCAGGCGTTCCGGGATACCCAGGTTGTTGAGGCGTTCCAGGATAGCCAGGTTCTCCAGGCTTGCCGGGGGTACCAGGGTAACCAGGTTGTCCAGGCTTTCCAGGTGTGCCGGGATACCCAGGTTGTCCGGGTTTTCCTGGTGTTCCAGGGTATCCAGGTTGTTCAGGTGTTCCAGGATAGCCAGGTTGTCCAGGCTTCCCAGGTGTTTCAGGGTACCCAGGTTGTCCAGGCGTGCCGGGATACCCAGGTTGTCCAGGCTTCCCGGGTGTTCCAGGATACCCAGGTTGTTCAGGTGTTCCAGGATATCCAGGTTGTCCAGGATAGCCAGGTTTTCCAGGTGTGCCGGGATGTCCTGGTTGTGATGGTTTGCCAGGTTGTCCGGGTGTTCCGGGCTGTCCAGGTTCGCCCGGTGTTCCAGGATATCCAGGTGTTCCAGGGTACCCAGGTTGTTCAGGTGTACCTGGATATCCAGGCTGTCCAGGCGTTCCTGGTTTTCCAGGTGTGCCGGGATATCCTGGTTGTGATGGTTTTCCAGGTTGTCCGGGTGTTCCAGGATATCCAGGTTGTCCGGGTGTTCCAGGATATCCAGGTTGTCCTGGCCCTTCGGGTTCACCTGGATATCCAGGTTTCCCAGGTGTCCCCGGATATCCAGGTTGCCCAGGTGTTCCCGGATATCCAGGTTGCCCAGGATATCCAGGCGGCGACGGATATTGTGGATATCCTGGAGTTCCTCCGTTACTTGAACCATCCGTCGGTGCTGCAAAAATTTACGACACTTGTTACTTCATAGTAACGTACTCGTGTATTCAATAACGCGACAATATACATACGATAACCTCCAGGTGGAACTACGCCCGGTCTGTTGCCCGTTCCGTCGAATTGCCTGCAGACCTCCGGGAAGAACAGGTCCTTCCATTGCGTCATCACTCCGTGATGTTCGTGGTGGTCTTGTTCGTTTTGCTGAGCGTCGTCTTGCTGATGATGCTCATGTTGATTCAGGAACAGTTCGATGGTTTTTCCAGGCTGGACGACGCGATAGCCCCAGCCGTCGCTGATGTAGAACGTGGTCTTCAATTTGCCGAACGGGTCTATGTACCCGTAGCAACCGTAGGTTATGTCGTCCGGGCCGCGTGTCTCGTGGTGGAACTGCCCGCTCGGGCTGATCTCGTAACCATAATTGTATGCGTCTGTGGAAAGACATTTGTACACGTTGTATCATAATCTCGTTTACGTCCAAATGATTTTGTGCTTCGATCATTTGACTGTCGAAGTCATTACATAATGTTATATTATCATATGTGTATTGTATTATTATATTATATATTACACAGGGTGTCTCAAAAATGTCTCGCAATCCGGAAATGGCGGGTTCCTCAGATCATTTGAAGCAACTTCTTCCTTTACAAAAATTTTCTCCGAGGCACCGTTAACGAGTTATTAACGAAAAACAGTGAGCAATAAGAATCGAGTACGGCTGACGCGAGGTGGCTCAGCCAATCACCGCAGCAAGCCCAGTTCCGCTCATTGGCTCGGTCGCCTCGCGCCAGCTGAGCTCGCCTCTCATTGGTCACTGTCTTTCTTTAATAACTCGTTAATGGTGCATCGGAGACAATTGAGGTACAAATGATCTGAGGTACTCGCCACTTTCGGATTGCGAGACATTTTTGGGACAACCTGTATATTATTATATATGTTATATTAACATATGTATAATATTATTATATATATTATATTATAGTGTATGTTTTATCATATATATTATATTATTATACATATCATATCATCATATATATTATGTATGTATTATATTTCACCTCCGTGCGAAATTAAAATTTGTATGAAAAATTGAATAAAAATTGTATAAAAGTGTTTCTTTTCGACAACGTTAATTTCCTGTTTTTTATAATGTTAATTTCTTCTATTAACGATATTAATACAGTAAATTCAGTGCAACAATATTATTAAATTTTTCCAACGATTTCATTCGTTTTATATTAATACCATCCGTATATCAATGTTATAATCATATTGTAAATTGTTATATTTAGTCACTTACTCGAGTAGAAGTCTTGGTTCAGATACTGCGTCTTCTGGTCATCGCTGATGTTCAATATCACCTCTCTGCTCTGCCTGCTCCCTTCCTGCCGTGTGCCTCGCCACAGGCACGTGGCAATCACCTGTTGCATACGAAAACGTCGAATCAGTCTCCATGGTTAGTGTTCGCTCGACTAGAATTTTTCTCGAAATAATCGTATCAGCCTTCGACATCCGAAAGCGTCCCGCGCGTACCAAAATGAAATATCATTCGAACTTCTCGGCGCGTTCGCGTCCTAAATCGACCATTGCACAACGAGCCATCACGTTGTCCCGATTTGTTCGTCGGGTTTCGACCGCGTCTCTAAACTGATCTTGTTCACCTTTCAAAAGCTCGGCCAAAGGACTCACCGTCACTCGTCGCCTTAAATGCCAAACCAGCCACGGAATGGGGCGCGCTTGTGCTACGATCATGCTCCAAAAATCGCCGGATCGGATCCGGGGGAATAAAATGAACAAAGGAACGTTGCAATTTTTTAGCATATATAGTTTAAATTTTTGTGGATTATATTTTGAAAGTGAAATGGACCGTGAGAATTTTTTTAACACGGTTATTGGGAAACTTACATATAGAAAATGGAACGTCGAAATTTTTTGGCACAGTTTTTTGGCGATTTTTGGGGTGAAAAGTACAGTAAATTCTCCATAATTTAATTGGAAACGAAAATAGACAATATTATTATTATATACATATTATGTTATATATATATATTATATTATTATATGTATTATATATTACTTTACATATTATATTATCATATATATTATATTATTATATACATTATATATTATTATATGAATTATATCATATGTATTATATTATTGTATCTGTTATAGTATGTATCTATTCTATTATTATATATATTATATTATAATTCCAGCCTTGTGAAGCCTTGCTTTTATAGTCGCCACCAATCGTCGATTAGGCACTATTTACTGTCTCATAAGAATGTTTAAGCACTCGGGGACCCTTTAAACAAAAAAAAACGCAAAACTGCTCGCAAGTTCTTTCTCGCGTGTCCGAAATCGAACCGATCGCGTTTGAACTGTAGAAACATGTCCGGGAAGATTAGGTCGCCGCCGTTCACGTCTGCATCGAGCAATTTGGGAGTTGTCGATGGGACGGGAAACGATCGGTCCCCGACAACGAGAATTCCCCGGGTGCGGCGTCTGTCTCGCGGCGTCTCGTCGAAGAAGCGAGATAAACCGTGGATTACACGCGCCGCAATCAATTCCGACTGTCCGCTGTCTATAAATAACCAACGCCATATTAGCGCGCGAGCGAACAGTGCCACAGGCTTTTTGTAGTAACACGGCCGACTCCGGCGCGGCCTTTAATCTTACCACACGTCACGCAGTCCCCGTTAAAGTCAGCCGGTGGAATCCCTGATTTATTTCTACGCGTGATCGCTTTTTTTCTTCTCTCGTTCGCTGTGCGCCGTTTAGGGCAATTAAATGTAAAGGTCGCGGCGGCGCGAGCTCTTCCGACGGAGCGGCAGCCGGCGACGTTTCGCAATCGGAACGCATCCGACGGATCTGCGCGGTTGCAGCGTCGTCGACCGTTTCTCTTCGTCGACGAAGACGCTTGCCCGTCGATTTCGGTCCATCGTCTCTCGCTCAAATCGACGCGATTCGATCGGATGATCCATCAATGTCCGTCTGTTCCGTTAAGGTCAGCGTCATTTTTCCCGACGTTGCCATATCGATGCAGTACAGTCGGCGAAAATTATGCCTTTCGAAATATCCCGGACCAAAAATAGCACCGATTTTATTAGCTCGAACCCACACTTTCCGCTCAGTTATTTCTAGAAATATATCACAAAAATGCGAGCCCTTGAAAAGATCGATTCCTCGGGCGATTTGAAGCAACTTTTTCCTTTGCGAAAATCTTCTCCGACGCTCCGTTCACGAGTTATCGACGAAAAACACTGGCCAATCGCAGGCCGGGACCGGCCGACGCGTTCCGGTGCAACCAGTGCGGCGTCGCGCGGGCGGGGCGTCGGCCGCGCCCGCTAGCCGATTGGCCAGTCGTTTTTCGTCGATAACTCGTGAACGGAGCGTCGTAGAAGATTTTCGTAAAGAACAAAGTTGCTTAAAATTACCTCGGGAAATGGATTATTCGATTTTTAATAAGCCCGCCTTTCATCGACATTCTTTGGATTTCCGAATTGCTTCAGTAATGATTCATCGAGGCGCAGATATTTCAAACGATCTCAAAATCCTTGGAATATTAGCAACGTATGAATTCCGTTTATCCAAAGGCGTAAAGCACGCTAATCACTCGAGTGGTTGCATTAACAGAGATCGAGTAATCGGCGAGAATGATTGATGACTCGCCGAGTCCCGGGTTCAGTCGCCGTCAAAGGCTTTAAGTCTGTCTCCGCGCACCGCCGACAGACGCATTGAATCAGATAAATGGAGTTCGAAATTCTCTATTCCGCTATCGCGAGCGGAAATTCAATGATTTATGCGCGCACGCGCGGCAGATGGCATCGTGGCGAGCGACAATGGAACCGATTTTTAGCGGACGCAGAAGAAACCGAGGAAGATGAATAGGATATGAGATCTTATGCTGTCGTATTTACATTCGCAGAATCGCCGGCGCATTTACTTATGAATGACGGGAGCGACCACTGTCACCATTTATGAATGACAATACATGTCAAGTGCTAAAATCGGTGAACACGTTTCCGTCAGACCGATTAATGTCTCTTTCGATGAAATAAAGTGTTTAAAGATATTTAAAAATATTTGAGAAATTTTAATATATTATTGTGTTTAATATACAATTGCAAGTCGATGAGAGAATTAAGGAAAAACTTCAATGTTAAATTGAAGAAATTAATCTGTACCCAGAAATTAATGCAAACCATTTTTATTTGTACAGTTTATTAATTGTTAATGTTATTGATTTAGTAATCAATTTATTTATCGGATTGCAGCCTTATTAATTTGTATAGGAAATTATTTTGCATGTGGTTTATTTTAAAACTGAAAAGTATCATTATATTATAATAATATATTTGTACAATATTTTTGCAGAAACGGTGATAAACATTTTTAAAAATTATTCATTAAAAAAATTATTCATTTTAAAATTTATTCGTCTCAAAAATTATTCATTTTAAAAATGATTCATTTTAGAAATTATTCACTTTAAAAATTCTGCTAGATAAAACAACAGCTCGACATTAAAAAAAATAAAAAATCGAACAAGGAGTCCATTGTATTCGTTCGACTGTCCACTTTCTGTCGCATTCCGCGGCCACGCATTTTTCGACAATTTGTCCATTATTATTCGCCCGAAGTCGAGGACTGGGACAAATTGCTTTCCATTTACATGGCCCGGGCGACGTGTTCGAGAAATCAATCGGTTCCACATTCTAGTTTCGCGCATGAATAATAAACGAGCACGGGTCGGGCCGAGTCGGGCCGGGCTGGGCCGTCGGTGCTTGTAAACCGCGAGCGTCCCTCGAAAACGATCCCGTCTAACGATCGCAGGAGGCACGTGTGGTCGCGTCGCGTTTCTACCAAGCCCAGAGGGAACAGATCGAACGTCCTCCGAGTCGAAACAGTTCCGTGTCACGTGACGATAAATTGTACGTAATTGGGCATGCGAGGAATTGTAATTATAACAGAATATTAGCAGAGAGAGAAGCAAGTGGAAGCAAATAGAAAATTTATTAGTGAATTTACTGAGAAATTAAGATTGATACGTTCGCTATTTTATATTTTTAATTATTGTTTTGTTAATTTTTTATGATCTTATTATTTAGATATTTTTATAATTTGTTAATTTAATTTTATATTGAATATTTGATTTTTGTATGAATTTACAAAATTTATGGATCAATTTTTATAAGAGAATTCAACTTATATGTAAATATTGCAAAAATGATTGATAATATAATTCTTGTAAAAATGTTTGATAATATAATTCTTGTAAAAATGATTGATAATATAATTCTTGTAAAAATGATTGATAATATAATTTTTGTAACAATGATTTATATATAATTTTCATAAAAATGATTGATGTATAATTTTTATAAAAATGATCGATATATAATTTTATAAAAATGACCGACATCTAGTATCATTAAAATAAAATTGTACGTAATTTACTGAAAATAAAATAAAAAATATACGAATTATTTAAAATAAAAAAATATATATATAAAATTATATATTATTAAATAATAATAATTATATATTAATATATATTAAATCATATACAATTTTATTTAAAATAAAATTGTATCTGAATTGCACGAAGACACGAGGATCATAGCATGATCCCGCGACTGATGATCTCAGCCGTCGCCCTGTTGTTCCACCCACGAAAAGGGAAAGTGGGACCCGGCGTGCAGCTCTCCTTCCCATTCGGCGCTGACGGGCGCCGTGTCTCTTTCCTCGTCCGAAGCTTAGTGCCTGGCCTAAGCGTTCGCATAGGTACGAAAGGTTAATATATGCTGGCGCTCTCGACCTGCCCCCGTGTCATGAATCAACCGTCGCCGGCGATGCTAATACCACTGGTATTCGTGCCGCGATATTTTAGTGGACAATGGGAATCGAGCAGGTGAACCTAATCGAGCCGCCGAACATCCGCGTCCGAGATGACTCTTTCGATACTTTCTATCGTACGATCGCTGTCTTAATTCATTCCTTATCGACTTTGTACTTTGGAGGACCTGTCCACGGAGATGACTGTATTTAGTTGCATTTAGGATGATTTGGAACATTCTTTTGTGAGAGTACTGAGGTGAGATGCTACACTGTATTAAATGCTATAATGTATCAAAAAATAGAGCGTATTAAATATTTTATTGAATAAAATAGTATACTGAGCTAAATGCTATACTGTATTAAATATTATAGTGTACTAAATATACTATACTGTAGTAGATACTGTACTATATTAAACAGTACACTATATTAAATACTATATGAAATAATATACTGTATTGAATACTATATAGAATGAGTATGAGTATTACACTGAATTAAATACGACACTGTATTAAACGTTACACTATACTAAATATTATATCCTATGAAATAATATACTGTATGGAATACTACA